GCCGACCGGCTGAGGCCCCTCTCCGTCCGGTTTTGCCGATGGGCCGCAAACGGTAACGACCTCTTCCGATCGGGACGATTTAATTCCGCGCGCACACCTGCGAGCGGTGCGTGCGCGCGTGGGCCGGCGAAAGTCCCGGGCCCAAGGACCCCGAGGCGAGGGCCCGTTCCCGAGGAAATCGGGCGATGTCCCTCTTTGGGAACCTGCCCATGAGTTCATACAATGAATGTTGTAATTTGGGAGGAAGTGATATTCGTTAATCCTAGGGTGTTTCGGTCCCCCCCCATGTTCGTATTTTAGAATTAACATAAGAATTTACGACAGCGGTTAAGGGTGACATTATGTGTGACGTTTTGGTGACTTCGAGTAATTTTCAGTAATTTCTGAAATTCTCTGGCGTTTCCTCGGAAATTCAGCGATGTCTCATTTTGAGAACCCGTTCCCGGATAATTCGTATAATGGACATTGCAATTCAGTAGGAAGTGATGTTTTGATGATTTCAAATAATTGTCAGTAATTGTTCAAGTTCTGCTCATGACTTCCTTCGTAGCGAATGGTGTCGCCCTGATGATTCAAGTGATTCTTAAGGTAACACAAAAGTGGCGTCAAAGAGATCTCAGTTATGAAGTATTTCTCCTATCGGAAAATACCGAATCCTTTCAAACTTCTCGCCACGAATATGAAGGCTATAAGGAAAGTCGTGGCACCCATGAAATTCGAATGTTTAAAAAATTTGTTTACGTGCAGTCTACAAATCTTTTTTTTTTTTTTTTCTATAAACAATACAATTTCACGGGTATCAGGACCTTCCTTCCAGCGTCCATATCAATGTCGTAAAGTCTGAAACGATTCGGTACACCCAGCTCGGAGAAAAGTGTCATGAACGTTCACCCCCTCGGATGTTACCTTGCCACCCCCTTAACACATTCGCGACCACTGACGTGAATTCACGTCTTTTCAAGTTCTATTCCTGGTTGCCGCCGACGTTAATTCACGTCACTTTAACGATACAAGTTTGCGGCAACCAGTTTCAGAATTTCATTATTTTCGCCGATGATACTCAGTATTTGAAACGGAAAAAATTTTCCGGCGAAATCAATGAAATTCTGATACTGGTCGCTGCAAAGTTGTATCATATATCATTATGGAGGTGATTCACGTCAGCGATAATCAGGAATAGAATATAAAATGACGTGAATTCACGTCAGCGGCAACCAGGAATAGAACTTGAAAAGACGTGAATTCACGTCAGCGGCCGCGAATGTGTTAAGGAGAAGGGAGGAATTTCGATGTTCCATCGTCCGGCGACGCTCTAATGATTTCTATTTAATTTCTGGCACTGAAGCGCAATGATTACGTGAGTGACCCCATACCCCGGGGCCTGCTGCGGATATTTACCTCCCGGAGACTCTCGGTTACGCGGTAATCGCCACCCTCGACGCCCGGGGCCCGGGGCGCGCTGTCCGGACCGCGGATTCCTCCGGCCCCGAAAAGAAACGGGCCGTAATGATCGCTCTTCCGCGAACCAATTGAAACCCCGGGGTGGAGTGAAGAGCGTACGACTCGGTCGAGCGCCCATTAGGTCTCGTTAGGTGCGCCGAACATGCGTCCCGGTCGCTCGCGGGGAGTTTACGGTTCCTTCCGCGTTTACCTCGGCCGCGCCATTCACGGGAGCCGGGAGTAAACGGGAACCTCCGACCCACTGACTCATCCCCCGCAGGATCTATTAGGTTCCCCGACATAAAGTTGCGTATACCGTCCTCTCTCCCCATCAAAATCCTCATTACGTTTTTCGTCCCGGAATTCTGTACCTTAGCCATTTTTAACCTTCAAATTCTGTATAACATTTTTGGACACACAAATGAAATCACATATTTTAGCCGTCTTCAATGTTCCAGAATCATACATTTAATTCTATGACACGAAATCACGTATTCAAGCCGCCCTCTTCGACGGTGAAGACTCTTGTTAGGTTTCTAGGAATTCACGGATTTTAATCGTCTCGTTTAACGATTGATATCTATTAGTAAAAAAAATACACGTCGGACCTAAATCGAATTCTAACGTTAATGAAACGACTAAGATCCACAATTTCATGTTGACATGTATATGTCGTTGCCTGAGTCATATATAATTGCAAGAAAGCGTTATTTTGTTGGGAAGAAAAATTGACGCCGTCGCTTCGATCGATTCCCGTTTCCTCGATTTGACGTTTCTTCGGGCGTATTTGGTCGCGGGACTTTTATTCGTCGCGGTGGTTGGTTCTTTCAGTCGACTTCTTTCCTCAGGGTAGTTTGCATTCAAGGCGGCGGAGAAATTGCGGGAAAATGGAAGAAAGTCTCCTCCAGTCGGGTGACGAGGTCGATCGGCGCGTCGTGCCTCGTCGTCTCGGGTCGTGAGTATCCGCCGTATCCGCCATCCGGGGCTCGGATGCCGGGCGGAAAGCGGCCGGCTGGGACGGACAGGAACGAACGCGGCGGCCGAGCCGAGCTAGTCGGCAGGAGTCGCGAGAGAGGACGGAGCCTTCCTCGGGAGAAGAGGTACCGCTAGCGCCCTCTGACCTCCGAGCGAGCGGGGCCTTCTTCCACCAGCGGCGGCAATTTTGCCTTCGATCCGGCTCTTCTCGGCGCTACTTCGATCTGGATCATCGAGAACCCATCGAGGGTCCGAGTTTACGCATCGGCGCCGCACCGGCGTTCCGCATCTCGCAGCTCACGGCGAGTTCGGGCCCATCGGGAAACGGACATTCCTCACGGCGAGTCCAGTCGAGCATAAGATCTGGAAGTCTCGCAAGATACCGCGGACCCTGCGATGGAGAACGCCGACTCCGGGAATTATTCAAATGCACCCTGGCCTCCGCGGCCGTTCCGCGGCGTTCCGCTCGGCCCGTCGCCCGAACGGATACCGCGTTCTCCGGGCAAACCACCCGGGGCCCGATTACCGCCTCGGGAAGTGGCCTCGTGGGATCGGTAGCTCGAACTTCGAGGTCTCTCCCAGGTGGACCTTTGAAAAATCCCCGACAAACCTCCTGGGGCCCGACTCTCGAGTTCGTGCGGATTTCTTCTTCTTCTTCTTTTTTTTTCTTATACGAACAGATCCGTATGAAAAATATAGCGTTATTAGCGAAGCGTCATTGATCAACGTTCGAAAGTCGTATACGTAACTGTTAATTTCGAAGCGTAGAGTAACGCGCCAAGTGGAGACGGCCTGGTCGCGGATTCGGGTCAGGACTCGAGGACGCTACGTGCTCCTTCTCCCCACTCGTGTACCGTTCACGGTGCATAAATTCGCCATTTTCTAGATTCTAATCCCATGCAATGCCCTGTTGCGTCGGGGACTGCGACGAGTTTCAGTTATTAAAGAGAAGAACCCGATGGTGGGCGAAACGCGCCTGCTTTGTCTCCGAGCGGCTCGGCTTCCGCGCGTCCTGGGCCCCTTGGCGGGGCCCGGGGGGCCCGACGAATCCGTGGAGCCAGAGATCGGTTCGTTTTAATCGCTAATCACCAATTAACCGAGGGTCCCGCGTCCGAAACCTCCAGAAGCATTTTAACGAGCCGCCGTGTCGTCCGGCTCGGAATTTCAGTTGGGACCGCTCTCGCGGCCAGGGCCCGACGAGATGGGCCTCAGAGGGCCCCGCGCTCGTTGCGGTCGCGACTCTTGGGTGTCCACCGTGCCCGACTACCAATTAGCGCATACTTCGCTTCGGTCATCGCCGGCTTAGGCCTAGTCAGGCCGAGGTGGCTGCTTTTTGGCGAGGGTCCCCAAGGAAATTCGCGCGTCGTACCCCGGGACGTCACCGGGGAATGCCGCGATGTCTCCTCGAGACAACCTCCTCTTTTTCCATTTTCTCGAGACCCTCGAAGCCGGCATTCTGCGTCTTTAATCGTTCCCCGGTCCGCTGCCGACGACACGGTGATGCGCAACCTTGATATCGGTCCAATTTCCAATCGCACGATTTCTGAATCAAACCTGGATTGTTCATTACGAAGAACTCTTTTCCTCTTAAGGGTTCCCGAGGAAAAATGCAGGTCCCTCTCTTAAAAAAAAAAACAGAATCACATTTTCCTCCCGACCGCGATTAATCTTAGACTGAGAAAATAACTTTCATTGAACCAAAAATATATTTTGTTAATTCAAAGAATTTAACTCGAATGAACTGGAATAAATTGGATGCGACATTACTTCGAAATTATGATAATTTCAGTTTATTTTAGTCAAGTGATTATTCTTCGAATTAACCATACATTTCCCTGGTACCATTCAAAGAAATATATCTTTGGTTCAATGAATTTTTTTTTCTTAGTCTCCCTGAGAATATCGTAAAGTTCCAAATCGCATACGCAAGGTATAGAATTGTAATATAATGACATTGGATCAAAATGATTCAATTTTCAAGTTCAACGGTTGATCGTCCGCTGGTTCGGTACAGGTAACAGGATGTAGGGTATATACCCTTGATAGCAGTGCAGTTGATCAAGCGAGGTCTAGGTTTCTAGATTAGACCAGGATTTCCTCTCGGCCCAATGATTTGTGTGAAGGGATTTCTTGGCTTCCCCCATTCCGCCTAGAATTCCTCAACCCTGAAGAGGCCCTGGTCCTCCCGACCCGTTGTAACGGTTCCAGGGTCGACATCGGGTCTGTCAAGGGAACGAGACGGGAGCCTCTCGGCGAGTTCCCGGGTGATTGCGTGGCTTTTTATCCGGTCGAGAGAGCGAGCGATACGGATTTCGTGGGCCGGTGGAAGAGCGAGAAGGAGAATGGAATTTCTTTTCTCGAAGCGGACCTCGGGAGAGGAAACTGGTCCGCTCCTCGGCCGAGGTCGGAGGTCGATCGATACGGCCCTGTCGTAGATCGATATCGACGGGACGTCTCGCGGCGACGTTCGTCTCGTAGTTGGATCTCCGATGTCTCTGCTCTTCGCTATAGTTACCTGGTAGGGTTAAATTCCTGGGTCGAGCTGGGGATCACCCAGGACAAGGGGTCGGAGCCTCGGCGAGGACATGTCATGCTTCGGGGGCCGTGAGGAGCGGATCTTCCTGGTCGAGCTGATGGTCGGCAAGCTGAGGCTCACCAAGGACCGGGTACAGGATTCCGCCGACTGCGACCTGGTGGTGAAAATAAAATTCCTTGAGTTTCCCAACTTCGAGGTCTCCAGGGACGACTTCAAATACGCGAAGCCTCCACCCCTCGACGGGAATGGTGCCCTGGACTTCGGGATGGGCAGGTCCTGCCTCTTCACGAAGCAACCCCGTGACCTGGTGCAAGCTATGAGGACCACCCCCGTCAAGGTCGGGATTTTCTGCCGGGGGGATAACTATCCTCTGGCCGAGACCGAGGTCCGACTCTCCGGGTGCCTCTGTGACCAAATTGTCATGGCCTCGAACGACCTCGACCACCTCCCCAAGCCGTATGTCCTGAACGGTGACTACGACCTCGTCGACCCAGGAGGGAACCCCTCCGGGTCGGTTCATCTGGACTTCAGGCTCACTTGCCTCGGAAAATCTATCACTACGCACTACCGCATGCAGGCCAAGTCGTTCCTCTTCAAGAACAACCACGACGAGGGCGAGTTCTGCGTGAAAAGAATGTCGACCTCCGCGCCAGGTGACGAATCCAAGTCGGATGGAAACGAAGAAGTCGTGCCAAACCCCGTCGAGGTCAACGAACAGTCTCTGGCCCTTGGGACCAACATCGAAGGGAAGAGTAACAACGGGAAGACACCTAAGAAGACGAAGAAGAAGCCAAAATGATGTACTTTCTAAAAGTTGGTCCCTTTCCGAATAAATTTACCGCACCGAAATTTCTAAGACATGGAATCGTAACATTATGGCAACGGGGTAGATGCTACTTCATCACCCGGGCAACCAGTCACAGCATGGCCGCCAAAAATTTGGACGTGAATTAATGAAAAAGATCAAAAAGTCCCAAATTCGGACCTCCACGACTCGTGGAACGATCTAAATCAATGGCGTGAACGGTTCAAGCTGAGATGAAGAAAATTCGTTCAAAATTATCGAGTGCGTCGAGCGTCTATCGAATCACGATTTCTGAAGTTGCAAGGAGTCGGTACGACCTATGAGAATGGCCATCCAGGCGTGTCCAGGACCGGCAGAGGACCAGCTCTTCATGCTGGAACTGCTCGTGGAGCGTTTGCGTTTCTACGGCCAAGAGATGCAGAGCCTCGATACAAATTCCCTAGGCCTCTGCGTCGAATTTATCGACTTCGTTCCCTTTAAGATGAAGCGAAACGCGAGCTATCCGACAGCCGACAAGTTGCGGGAGTCAAAGGACCAAGAGGGTACCGTCGACCTCGACCTGGGTAAATCGTTCCTCTTCACCCACGTACTGGAACGTCTGACGCATGCGCTGAAGGCGCAGCCTTTGAAGATCCGAGTCATCCTTGACGACGGCACGAGGGAAAGCTTCATCTGCGAGACGGAAGTGCCGATACAGGGATGCTTCTGCGAGCGAGCGGCCTCCTCCAAGGAAATCGAGGCTGCACCCAGATCTTGCAGGATGACGGGCGCCTTCGATCTTAAGGATGGTCAAGGTAAACCCGTAGGAACCGTCGCGATCTCGCTCAAGTTGTCTTGCCTAGGAAGATGGTCATTCACGGACTTTGCTCTCCGGGAGAAATCGTTTTTCTTCAAGAGCTCCCCGGGGGGTCAGGAGTTCCAATGCAAGAGGGCTGAATCGAGTCCTGGAAGCGATACCATGGTTCTGGAGATCGATGAATCCGAGCAAGGGGGGACCATTTCGGAGCCAGTACTGGTGATGGGAGTTGCACCTGCGTGTCTAGAGCTGATGACCAGGGACGGGAATCCAGCGAACGTCCAGCCTCCTCTGGAGCTACCTGCAACGCCTCCTCGAGTAAATCTGGACGACCCCGGTTTTGAGAAACTGACCAGCGCGGAGAAGCTGAACGACCCCCAATACCGCGATAAGATTTATCGAACCTACCCAAATGAGCCAACCTGTGGATGTGGATCACCGGAAACTGCATCGCCGAGTAGATTCCTCGAAGGCTTTCCATCATGTCCTGCCAAGTGTCTAGGAGCTTGTTGCCGGGGAACCAGAACGCCGGGACCAGCGTTGCAAAGAAACGGCTCGAACAACGGCAAGGCCCCGCTCGATATTCCCAGCCGTTGCACCAGTCTCTTGCAAACTGGCCCAATTCCCAATGGTAGCTGCAACAAGCCGAGAAGAATGAGAGGCGGAGGCGACTCGTACTCCGGATTCGACGAGCGCTGGATGAGACACACCGGGGAGCAGGCGTGCTGCAACTTCAGGCACACCAGGACGTTGGACGGAGTTGCAGCTTTCTCCTCTTGCAACACTCCTTCCGCGAATCCCGGAAACATTCTGGCTGGTTCCTCGGTTGTCCACGCGCAGGAGATGATTTATTCCTTGCCGAATTACTTCTACGTCTCCAGAAGAGAGGATGGATTCCCCAGACGCGTCAGCTCCAGACCAGGCTGGATGGACCATTCCCCGACATCCCGCCTGAAAGGTGGCGGGAATCCTGGACTTCAGGAAGATTTAACATGCCATTACTCGGACGCCGAATCGGGACAAATTGAAGCTACCCACTCCAACGCCTGTAGACCTCGTCAGACCTCAACGAGCTTGCAACCAGGATGTCTCTGTCATGGCAGAGAGTCCATCGAGGCGGCCTCGAGGCAACGAGGTGCATCTTCTTGCATAAAGAAACCATGCCTAGGAGTGGACTGCCTGGTCCGCGCTTTTAAGGAGACTCAGGACTTCGTCGACTCCCTGGGCAGGGTTCCCGGGCTGGCTGGTCTGGGTCTGATGGATCCTTCCGAGAGCCCATACTTCGGGCGGGACAGAGACAAACCTAGTCCCGAGGGAGCCACCTCGAAGAAACCTTCTGCATTCTCGGTGCAACCCCAACCTGCCAATCCCCTGTGCAATGGTCCCTGCAATACGCGGATTCCTGGGTCAAGGATTGCGGAAGGCAACATGCCTCAGCCCTTTACGGTGGCCATTCCGGGACGAGTGGGCGTGGTGAGGGAGGCGATCCCCTCGATGCCCGAGGCCGGCTCCGTGCTTCCGTCCAGGACCAAGAAGAAGGACGAGAGATCGGAGAGGCCCAAGGACTCGGAGGCGAGCGTCTCCCTGCCGGCCGAGGCGGAGTCGGGTCCTTGTGGGGAACCACGATGCAGATCCCGCAGAAAAAGACTCACCGAAGAGGCGATTGCAGATTCAGGGGAAGCTTCCGGGAGAAGGTCCTCTCGCCAAGAGGCGAAGCCGCTCAGCACAGGTGGATCCAAGTCCAGCGGGGACAGACCAAGGTCCCAAAAGAGACATCGTCCTGGCCCGGCTGGGGATCGGTTCGCCACATCCAGGTCTTCGACCAAGGGCGCTCGCAGGATCGGTAGGTTCGTCTACACCGCTGGGGACATCTACCCCGGAATCAACTACGGTCACAAAACGTGTCTGGAGCCCCGGGCCAGGGTACCGGGAAACATGGGGTGGTTGTGGACGAACCTCACCAATTCTAGCGACCCGGCGGTGAAGTCGCGACCAGGGTGGAAACCTGGAGCCATCTCCAGAAGTCTGCGCGAGATGATGAGGGAAGCCAAGGCCCTTTCCGTGCCGGAGACCAGGCCCAGGTCGGCTCCCTCCAGGAGCAGGCGTGGCGACATCCAGAGGGCTCGCAGCTTCTCCTCTGTGAAGAAGGGGCAACCTAAGAAGAGGGAAGGGGAGGAGGTCGAGGTCGAACCCCCACCCACACTACATATCCATCGTAAGGATGGAGCGTATTACGTTACCATGTATCCCATCAAAAAGGAGACCACAAATTTACCTCAGCTAGGCGCGCCTATCAAACCGCTGCGTTTTAAGATCGCCAAGAACCGAGATGACGCTTCCGCTGCCTCTAGCTCCTCGGCTTCTGATATGGAAATCGAATTCTCACCTCCCGCCGCCATTAATCGGTATCGCAAGAAGCCCGACGTCGTTCATGTCGATACTCAGGTCAAGCAGCAGGAGATCCTCGAAGCCTTCTTACCTGCGGATGCGAGAAAGAAGAAGGAAAAGAAGAAGAAGGGCAAAAAGTAGATTGACGGAGAGCCGATGGCACTTCGGCGCGAGAGAATCGTTGGATTAGGAAGGGATGACGCAAGTACGCGTTTCCTTTTCCGTGGAGTCAGGTAGGAGTCCCACTGACGCGGCGGGTGTCACACGCCGCGCGTCGCTTACGGCTTCTCGAAGATGGCGACGGTACCAGTACACGTTTTCGGGTCATAAAGATGCGGTGAGACTGCGTAAGAATGGGAAGTAAGCATCGGCGACGCGGTAATCCTCTAAGGAGAATGCCACGAGGTAATTTATGGTTGTAAATGACTCGTTCAATTAGTCGACTCGCTTCGAAGGTTCGGGATCTCATTGGTCGGCGAGTTCTAAGATGGCGGCGGGTCGGCTGGCGGAACCACGTGGTTGCCGGTGCGACTTTCATTGTTTGGGGGTGTTTGCGGGCGAGTCTTTTGTTGGAAGTACGGAGTTTTAAGTACTTACCGTAGGTTAGTATCGAATGTGGCTGATAAGCTGAAACGCGCTTGCGGTTTATCAAGGAGGCTCGCGGTCATGCGCAGTGCTGCCGGGCGAAACCGTCGCGTGTTATTCTTTTGTTCGCGTCCTTCGCGATCCGCGGTCTCGTGACGCGCCAGAAGACGCCTATCGAGTAACGGTTGTAGAGGTTAGAATTGTAAGTAGCGTTATCTTAGGATTATCGGTGATTACGCGTGGTTTCTGAATTTCGCGTTGAATACAATCAAGGCCGAGAAATGACCGAAAAGAAAGTGCAGGAGAGGAATGCGGAGGTTCGCGAGAAGATGCTCGATCTTCAGGAAGTGAGCATTGGACCGATGCCGGCGAGCTCGCCGTGGATACGACCGGTTCGTATGACATTTTTACAGAACGGCCGTGAAAAAGTATGGGACTTGATGAGATCTCACGATAGCGTGAGTATGGTCATTTTTAATACGACGCGCAAGAAGCTCGTCTTTGTCCGGCAATTCCGTCCTGCCTCTTATGTTTCGTGCCTGCCGGAGATACCCAAGGTCGATGTCGAAAAGTACCCTGCAACTCTTGGCCTAACCTTGGAACTGTGCGCTGGTATCATAGATAAAGACAAACCGATCGTCGAGATCGCGAAAGACGAACTAAGAGAAGAGTGCGGGTACGAGGCTCCTGCTTCTGCCTTCACAAAGCTCCAAACTTACAGGTGTGTCTCCGGGTCCAGCTATATCGATGTTAAGGGCTGCCGATGTTCTAGAATAGTACACGAGTTCATGGGTTGTACCTACGCTAACACAGAAAGTTGTGCTTTGATAGTAACCACGTAATATTTTACATGAATTCGATTTATAATACTAGAAAGAAACGATTAAATACTATGTGTATTTTGTACAGGATGTATAGGTTTATCCTAAGATACTAGTTTACTGAGATGAAAAAATAATACTTTCCAAACTAGTAATGTTGTCGTTAAAGATTTGTGAAGATACTTTAACGTCAGGTTCACCTATGCTTGAAATTTTGTAAAGGGCAACCTAGCCATGAATTCTTGTTCGTCCTTCTTGTCCATTTTCCTAAAGTTTAATAAAAATAGTATGCAAGTATTACATTTCTTTATTAGTGTACGCGCCATTACGTTCTTGCAGGTACATCGCATGCTTGGCAACCCGACAAACCCTTTTCTATGTCGAAGTTACGGATGATATGCATGTACATCCCGGTAAGTTTCTATGGAGTTATATATTGTGTAACCAAATCTGTCACATTATTTTTTTTTCAATGAAAAATAGAAATAAACAGTTTGTACACAATTCCATTCTTACCCATATTAAATGCTCAAAGGATGACTAGCAGCAGTGTAAAAAAAAATGAAAATGATTATGCACTATTGCTTTTAACCTTCCGAGTTGGTTATATTTGACATGGTGGTGGTCTTATGCTGTTTATTAAATTAAAGGAGGGGGAGATGAAACAGAAGGTGAACTAATCGAAGTGGTGGAAATGAGCGTACCAGAGGTTAAGACATACATCAGTTCTGAGGAAATACACAGCCCTCCGTGTTTTCTCTATGGTGTTACCTGGTTCCTTGCAAACAAAATCGACCGTTATTGTTAACTAGTCTACAATCTTCCGTTATGATTAATTGTATTTAATACCATAATATAAGTTACTATGTTATTGGATTTATTTACAAAGAAAGTGTATTTACATGATGAATATGCAACCACTGTGTGATGCAAGGAAAGAGAGAAAATGAAATTACTCTAATGTTCAATCTCATCTTTTGTAAATTGGGAGCTCACCCAAGCGAGACCCCATTTAAGATTTGTTAATAAAAATTTCAATGCCTTGGTCCATTGCTCCTCGGAATTAAATTGAATTCTGAAATCAAAATAAATAGTGTATTTTTGCAGCTATAACAAGTATTGTTATTTTATCAACTTTACGAGTAAGTCATGGTCAATATAATTGACTGGGGGTAGTTACTTGATAGAATAGGAATTTCCTGTTGCAGAGTCTTCAATTTTTCCTCGATCCATTCTGTATGGAAGAGAAAATTCGCTATCACCTTTCTCTACTTGCTCTTTAAACTGTTGTAAGCAATCGAGAAAAGCCACCATAGCTGCATCAAACTTTGTATCCCATAGAAACTTGAACCCTCCACTTCCATACAGTGGTAGTTCTTTGTGCTGATCCAGAACTTCAACATAGCTGTGATTGCCAAATGGTATCAATCTAAATCGCTGGAAAGTAAGGTTCATTTTTCGTGCTAGTGCTGTTAGCAGTAAAGTTGTTTGGCCCCATGCAGCATTTATCTCACTCCAATCTACTGGAGCACTTGGTAGCCGACCCAGCCGAAAAGAATTTATAGTCCCAAAGTGGCCAGTGTGCCAAATATGAAAGGTTGCATTAAAAACATTAGTTTTTTTCAGTCTTTCAAGTTGTGCAGCTGCATAAGCAAGTTGACAGTCCAAACTGTAGAACATTCGAAGATTAGATTAGAGATGTTAGAATTCTATGAATAACAGTGCTCGGAGATTACGTGGTCGTTGTTATTACCTGCGACGTTCATCCTCTGCTAGTATTAGGTCCCTTCTATGTCTCGAGTATTCTCTCCAATATCTGTCTTCTTCATTTTGTAATCTTTCTCTCTCCCTTTCTTGTTCGGCAATAGCATTCTTGGTAGCTGCTTCCTCTTTTCTCAATGCTTCCAACTCGCAGATCATCCTTTCTTCTTCTGCTTTGATGTCGTGTAATTCTTTTGTCAGGTTTTCCATCTCTACATCCTCGTGTCCTTGTTGCTGTTGTTCCAATTCTAATTTCTTCAAATATTCATTATAATCTGACCATTCACTCTCCGTCATTCTTAACTGTTGATCCATTAGCATGAGAAGGCTGTCGGTGCATTCGTCACACAATGGATGATCTGCCGAACTGCTACTGCTCAGTATGTCAAATAATGTTGCTCGCACCTATTGCCAAAAATAATATTTAATATTAATAAATTATTCACGATGCGCAATCTAAGAGCTGTTTTATTCGGAATTACAAACCCTCAAATGATGACTGAGACTCTCGGATTCTCCGGAATCGCCGACAAGCATAAATCCATTGGTTCCATTCGTGGATTCTGTGAGGCGAAAAGGTGGAACCAAATGTTCCAAACTTCCACTCTGGGGTTCTGTGTCTCCGACAACTTGTTGCTGTATCGGTACTGTAATTTGCATAATGAAGTTAATAGGAAAGTAATGTGTACGGCTTCGATAATAAAACTCCAAGGGTTCTCTTGTGTTAATAAAGATTTTGCATCTTCGATTATATCTTGACGCTGATTTAAATTGTTAGGGTGCATCGCAAAGGTATACTGAATGTGCTGTGCCAATGATTAGGGGAACAAAGACGATCATTTTTAAATAACCTACACTCCTATGCAATCGTTATTTCTTTCAAACTTTAGCGTGAGAAGTCGTCGACCATCAATTTGAATAGAGTCACGATCCGACGTAGATGCAAAGCATTGGATGTCCCCGATCATATTAGGATAACAATCGTACAGTAAGAGGTGGAAATTACCTACGTGAGAGTTCGGCCAAAGTGTGTTCCCCAAGATGATTGAAACTAGAATCGAGTTTGAGAGGCTGCAAGCATCGTTGACACGCAAAATTCACGTTTGTCTTTATGTCCACCATTCTGGCGTTTATTTATCGAACCACAAACACCACGGCCAACCCGCCCGTCAGAGACGTTATTTATAAATATTGGTTTGACGCTTTAGAAGCGAATCAGCTGATCCTACTTCGGAATTTTCTCATGGAAGGAGCCACTAACCGCTTGATACGGCACGAGTGTTAATCCAAGGTTTAATCGACGACAGATAATCTAAAAAAAGTAAGCTTAAGAGCATTAAGAGTAATTCATTTACCGACCGTCAATACCTGTATCATAGTAAGAATATTGGCAATTTTATCGCTCGTTTCCATAGCACATCGACGTTATCTGGTGTAGGTAAACTGGGCAATAGGTGGTAACAATCCGTCGGTAAGATAGGTTGCCAATAGTGTTCTTCAAATCTTTTTAAAATCTGTTGTACTTTTTTTGTCTAGGTTGGACTTTGATACGAGGTTTTTAAAACTTTTATTAACAAAACTTTTCGCTAAGATATCAGATGAGTGGGATGTTAGTTCGATGATTTTCTAACAGATGGCGATATTCTCCCACCCAGTAGGTGGCGCCCTCGGCGAGAGACGCGCATACTTTTTCAACTAACTTGAAAGTATAATCCCTATTTTAGATCTAAATCATTCGATTTTCGATTAACAGCGTTATCTAGAATCCTAAGTGTTTGTCGACTACAATAATGCTTCGATTGGTTGGGCCGATTAAATAAATAACTATTATTATCGAACCCAGCCGACCATTTTTTTCGTTTCCATTTTCTCCCCGCGTAGATGATATTCCGAGTACACCATTGATCGTGCACAATCAAGACGAGAATTGCATGGTTCTTCGAGTTGCAAGAGTTCTCGAAGACGGGGTTTTCCAAAACGAGCAACCTTCCCCTCCCGAGGATCTGGCAATGAGAAAAAAACGAGAGAAAGAGGCAGGATCCGTCGAGCGCGCGTCGGCGCGACCGGTGCGTGCATAACCTCGGCGAAAGTCAATTATCGGTGGCATGTGCTCGGGCCGATAAAAGCAGGCGAAGTTTGCGATTCCGAGTTGGAAACCACGCCCTGTTACCAATGGAGGCTCTCCCTCGTCCTTTGTTTCCCTGGGCCGAGTCGAGCCCTTCCGCGGGTGCGAGAGAGAGGGCGGAAGGACCGAGTCGGGAGTAGGAGAGAGACGGAGAGAGGAGCCTCGAAAAGAGCTTGGCAGGGCAGGGCAGGGCAGAGCCGGTGGCCATCGCGCCCGCTAGACGTCCATTAAACGCAGAAATGAGAGGCTTCCAAGCTCGGGCCCGAACGGGTCGGACCAGATCCGAGCGGGACCGAGGCGAGTCGGGTCAGACCGGGCCACGTTTAGCCCGGGGTCGCGCCCAAGGCCCCGGACCATTAACAAGGAGCGGAGCAATTTATGGACGGGCTCGCTCATTTCCACTTTATTATTATTTTCTCATCTCATAGAGGGTCCTCGGGCTCTTTTTGCTGGCTCGGCTCCCCTTCGCGCTCCCCGGCCGACCTCCACCTACCTCATGGAATTAATACCCACGGCAGCGCAGCCGACGCGGAGCCACCGGGGGACTCGCTGTCCGGCCCGACCGGGCCCGACCGGGCCCGACCCGGCCCGACCCGGTCCGACTACGTCGGGACCTTGAGGGGGAGGGGGCAAAAAATCGCGAAGCGTTGTTGCTCCGTCTCGCGGCTCGAGATCGGCCGAATTCGGCCGAGATCGGTCAAGATCGGCTCACCCGCTCTTCAGCCTGTCTAAACTCGTCCGAACCTTAGACCATAGATATCTAGTCTCTCATTGCAGTGGAAGGAATAAATTCGAAAATACCGCATATATAGCGTACGTGGATTGTGAAAAGAAAACGCATCATACCAGAGGAATATTTCATCAATTCAAAGGACAATTATTTCACTGAAATAATCATCTTTGAACGAAATATTCCTTTGGGACTATCCAATGAAATTTTCTTTTTTCATTTTTTTTCCTCGGTGTATGTGCAGACTTCGCTTTGCAGGGAAAAGGGTAAACAAATGTACCGCGTGATCCGATAACTTGCCCACGCGGTTAAAGAATCATTCTGCTTACTTAAAATTTGAGAGTAGGAGGTCCAATGCGAGGTCTAGATATATATGGTCTATGGTTCGAGCGCGAGACAGGCAACTCGGTCGAATATTAATCAATTCCACTTTGCACGACCGGACGTTGTTCGATAGAGTGACGGAAAATTCGGGAAATCCAAGCCCCGAGTGCTTGGTCTCGCACTTGGCGGCATGTCGGTAATTGAAGGAAACCGGGAGGAAGGATGCCGGGCCTCCGCCGTGGGCGCGAATGGCCACGAGGCCCGGCAATAGGGGCGCCCTCCATTTTAACGAGGGCGAGAAGAGAGGAAAAAAAAGGAACCGGACCCTCGAGACCCGAGCCTATTGGCGCGCTCGCCAGTTGCGCTCGCGGAATTAGCATGAACGATCGGACGAGGAAGGTAATCGCCTCGAAGCCACCGGGATTGGTGCGCCCGCAGCCCCCAAATCGCGTACTGGCCCACGCACGTCCGACCCCCGGCCCGGGCCCTCCATTGCTGCAATGGGCCCGACCGGACCCTGCTTGACCCCTCCTTGTAGAATTTTCCCTACCTCCGACAACCCTTGGCATGTCATGAATTTCTCCCTATTCTTTGCATACAGGGGTACCAAATTGACCTTGAAGCATGACGAAAATCTGACATATTGGTATGGACGAAAATACCACGCGATAATACATGTTACGTCAGTATTTGCGATAATTGAGATTCCGTCGATAGGGTCGAGTCCTCGAAATTTGTATCATTTTCTACCCTGAGAATTAAGATTGGTTGACCGAAACAAATGTATACCGTTGCCTGAATATATAATTGCATGAAACAATTGTTTTGACGGGAAGAATAATAATATCGTTGATTTGAAGGAATCCTCGTTTACTCTTAGGGACATTTCTTTTGACGTATTCGATCGCAGGATCTTGTCATTGCAGAGCATATTTCTTTGAGTTAAGGAACTTTTTTTTTTTTTCAGGGTAGCGGTCATCGTAATTTCAGGTCCTACGTGGACGGAAGTCTTGTGTGGTCCAAGTGGCCATTCTGGAAAAATTGGACGGATCGATGGCTGATCACTGTGGAGGGAGTTCATGGGGGATGGAATTCATCGACGGGGGAGAAGGACCGAAAGTCACCCGGTGTTAAGAAGCCGTCGAAGAAAATTGGCGCGGCTCGAGATTAGCGGGGAACGGGGCAGGGAATGGCCGCCATTGGTAGCAACAGGCGGCAGAGAGTCCGGCGAACCGTTTGACGGGTGACACGACGCGAAGTGACAGCCGCCTTGTCCGACACGCGATCGGACATCGGTCCGACACTCCGCGCGCTCCTCTCTCGCTCGGCCGGACCCTCTCCGTCCCTCCGGCCCGATCGGGCCCCTTTGCCGGTCCTCGGGAGGGCCCGCGGATTCGGGTCGGGCCCGGCCAGAGGATGATCGATTCTCCTCGCGTCATTCCTGCCAGCCTCGAGTCCGCCCAATCGATCTCTCGACGACGGCGTCTTCGCTCGACCCCGTCCCCCCGAGAAGAGAGGCCTCACCTTCGGATCCCTGGGCATAAGGCCCCGATCGCATTCGGCGACATCCATCGCTCCATTTTCTCATTTATTCATCCGAACGCGTCGATTCTACGACCAACCTGTAATCGGGATTTCATTTATATCGAGGGAGGACGTTCGATTTTATTTATATCGCGGAAGGGCGCCTGGATTTGGGCCTTATCCTCCCTCTCGCCGATGGGACTACTCTTTCACCGGGGAAGGGAAAAGCCCTAGAAAGCCGGAGAAATGATGACGTTACGGTTCCGTTGTCGGCCCGTCAGGGGCCCGAGTGGGCCCATAATGCCCCGTCGAGCGATCCGCCGGTCCCTCCTCTCGCCGTCGGCCGATCGGTCCGATCGGCCCTCGGGGGGGAAGGGGGGCAAAGAAGGCCCAGCAAAAAGGCAGATCGGCCGCGAGATGGCCGATCGGGAACCTCCTCGAAATCCCGCGGCTTCCGCGCGGAGACCCCGCGGCGCCGGGACGATTCACGATCGGCAGGAGCAAGATCGATGGTTCCTTAATAACCGAGAAAAACCGGCAAAACGATCGCGCCGCGGGTGGCGCCCCCTCGCGCGGCGCTGTCGTCGCGCCATGACTCCGGGCGCAAGACCCACTTAATCGGCGTCCAGAAGTTGGCGACAGGAATCGGAACACGTTCCGGGAACGGGAATGGAGGATTCCTCGAAACGTAGTCGTTTTGGGTCGCGTCGCGGCGCGCATTCCCGGACTGGCCCAAACGGGTCGGGCCCGAGGTCGGGCCTCATCGACGCCGAGCGTCGCGCCTAGAGAGCGTACGGAGGCGGAAAGAATCCGAGTCGCCCGAGGGGAATTCCTCGCCGACGAGGAGGCGGCGTCTCCGGGAGATCGCGGAACCGCCGCGGGGTCGGCGAACTCTTAGGTAAGGCCCTTCGGGGCCCGGCGGGACGCCTCGCGCCCCGGCGGGACGAGGACGGGCAAGGTCGGTTAAGCTCTCGTCACATTCTTGTCAACCGGGACGGCGTGCCACGTCAATCTCGGGGGCCCGGCGTCCCGGCGTCTCGGGGCCTGGACGGATGGATGGACGGGGACAGGCCCCGACAACCTCTCGATGCGTCAAAGAGAAATATAACCGGCAACCGACGTGGCCCGAACTGCCTCATTAGCCGCCGGCCGTCCAGGAAACTGGTATCCTTCCAGGACTTTGTAACAAACCTGGAACCTGCTTCCGAAGCCGGGCCGCGCATGCGCGTAACCTTCGGGGCCCGTAATAGCGCGAGCGGCCTTTTGTGCGCCATGGGTCCCCGCGACGCCGATCTCTCTCTCTCTCTCTCCCTCTCTCTCTCTCGCTCCCTCTCGCCCGTAAATCAATCCTCCCCGGGGATACCTCAATTTATTTAAGCGCTTCTAGGACCGCCTCGCTATACCCGCGATTCCGCGAATCCTCGGGCTCCGCGATCGAGGACGCGGCCGGGCCTTACACCCGGCGCGTCCACTCTCCCGGATTCCCTCGCCGGGACCGATCGCGCCCGAC